GGCTCCCGGATAGGGACTACTGGGAAAAGGAGACACAAATTTGGAGCATCTCCAACTGATCCCTTCTCCCCAAGCAACCACCAGCTGCTTGTGGGAACCAGGGCCACCTAGCTGGGATGGCTATTAGGAAGAGCAGGAGGGTGCTTGGGGCTGGGGTTATGTGACGGCATTAGGGGTGCGGGAGCAGGGTGCGGGGCAGAGAGTTGGGGTGCGGTAGGTGGTACAGACTCTGGGGTGGGGTGCAGGCTCTGAGGTGAGGCCAGAAATGAGGGGTTCAGAGTGTGGGAGGGGGCTCTGGGCTGGGGTGAGGGCTCCAGCTGGGGGTGCAGGCTCGGGGAGGGGCACGGATGAGGGGTTTGGGGTGCAGGAGGAGGTTTCAGGTGGGGCCGAGGGGTTCGGAGTCTGGGAGGGGGCTCTGGGATGGGGCAGGGGTGCGGGGGAGGGTTGAGGGCTCCGGCTGGGGGTGCAGGCTCGGGGGGCAGGGATGAGGGGTTTGGGGTGCAGGAGGAGGTTTCAGGTGGGGCCGAGGGGTTCGGAGTCTGGGAGGGGGCTCTGGGATGGGGCAGGGGTGCGGGGGGGGTTGAGGGCTCCGGCTGGGGGTGCAGGCTTGGCTGGAGGGGCAAGGATGAGGGGTTCGGGGTGCAGGAGGGGGTTTCAGGTGGGGCCGAGGGGTTCGGAGTCTAGGAGGGGGCTCAGGGATGGGGCAGGGGTGTGGGGGGCAGGGGTGAGGGGTTCGGGGTGCAGGAGGGGGTTTCAGGTGGGGCCGAGGGGTTCGGAGTGTGGGAGGGGGCTCTGGGATAGGGCAGGGGTTTGGGGGGCAGGGGTGAGGGGTTCGGGGTGCAGGAGGGGGGTTTCAGGTGGGGCTGAGGGGTTCGGAGTCTGGGATGGGGCAGAGGTGCGGGGGGGCAGGGGTTTGGGGTGCAGGAGAAGGTTTCAGGTGGGGCCGAGGGGTTCGGAGTCTGGGAGGGGGCTCTGGGATGGGGCAGGGGTGCGGGGGGGGGGGGGGGTTGAGGGCTCCGGCTGGGGGTGCAGGCTTGGCTGGAGGGGCAAGGATGAGGGGTTTGGGGTGCAGGAGGGGGTTTCAGGTGGGGCCGAGGGGTTTGGAGTCTAGGAGGGGGCTCTGGGATGGGGCAGGGGTGCGGGGGGCAGGGATGAGGGATTTGGGGTGCAGGAGGACATTTCAGATGGGACCGAGGGGCTCGGAGTCTGGGAGGGGGCTCTGGGATGGGGCAGAGGTGTGTGGGGGGGTGAGGGCTCCGGCTGGGGGTGCAGACTCGGGTGGGGGGGCAGGGATGAGGGGTTCAGGTGGGGCCAAGGGGTTTGGAGTCCGGGAGGGGGCTCTGGGATGGGGCAGGGGTGAGGGGTTTGGGGTGCAGGAGGGGGTTTCAGGTGGGGCCGAGGGGTTCGGAGTCTGGGAGGGGGCTCTGGGATGGGGCAGGGGTGTGGGGGGCAAGATGAGGGGTTCGGGGTGCAGGAGGGGGTTTCAGGTGGGGCCGAGGGGTTCGGAGTGTGGGAGGGGGCTCTGGGATAGGGCAGGGGTGTGGGGGGCAGGGGTGAGGGGTTCGGGGTGCAGGAGGGGGTTTCAGGTGGGGCCGAGGGGTTCGGAGTCTGGGATGGGGCAGAGGTGCGGGGGGGCAGGGGTTTGGGGTGCAGGAGAAGGTTTCAGGTGGGGCCGAGGGGTTCGGAGTCTGGGAGGGGGCTCTGGGATGGGGCAGGGGTGCGGGGGGGGGGGTTGAGGGCTCCGGCTGGGGGGTGCAGGCTTGGCTGGAGGGGCAAGGATGAGGGGTTTGGGGTGCAGGAGGGGGTTTCAGGTGGGGCCGAGGGGTTTGGAGTCTAGGAGGGGGCTCTGGGATGGGGCAGGGGTGCGGGGGGCAGGGATGAGGGATTTGGGGTGCAGGAGGACATTTCAGATGGGACCGAGGGGCTCGGAGTCTGGGAGGGGGCTCTGGGATAGGGCAGGGGTTTGGGGGGCAGGGGTGAGGGGTTCGGGGTGCAGGAGGGGGTTTCAGGTGGGGCCGAGGGGTTCGGAGTCTGGGATGGGGCAGAGGTGCGGGGGGGCAGGGGTGAGGGGTGCAGGAGGGGGTTTCAGGTGGGGCCGAGGGCTCGGAGTGTGAGAGGGGGCTCTGGGATGGGGCAGAGGTGTGGGGGGGCAGGGGTGAGGGGTTTGGGGTGCAGGAGAAGGTTTCAGGTGGGGCCGAGGGGTTCGGAGTGTGGGAGGGGGCTCTGGGATGGGGCAGGGGTGAGGGGTTTGGGGGGCAGGAGGGGGTTTCAGGTGGGGCCGAGGGGTTCGGAGTGCGGGAGGGGGCTCTGGGATGGGGCAGGGGTGTGGGGGGCAGGGGTGAGGGGTTTGGGGGGCAGGGATGAGGGGGTTTCAGGTGGGGCCGAGGGGTGCGGGAGGGGGCTCTGGGGTGCGGGGGGGGGTACGGGCTAGGGGCGCTGCCACTGCCCCCCAGCCCCCGCGGGCCCGAGCCAGTGCTCAGGGTGGGGGCAGCGCGCGGAGCCACGTGGCCCCCGGCCTGGGACCCGGACCCGCTGGCGGCTTCCAGGGGCAGCCAGGACAGGCCGGCTGCAGCAGCGCTGACCGGACTCTTAACGGCCCGGTCGGCGATGCTGACCGGAGCCGCCCGGGTCCCTCTTCTCCCGGGTGCTCCGGCGGGAACCGGACACCGGGCAGCACCTGCCCAGCCTGCCGGGAGCTGTAGCCAGGGACGAGCACGCGCAGACCCCGCAGTGCATGCCGGGAGCTGTAGTCCCCGACCCCAGCCCAGCCTGCCCGGAACACTCGCCTCCTGTTTCTGTTCCTCACGCTTCTGGGCCCTCAGCTTCTCCGCCAGCTGCTCCGCTCTCACCGCGGCGGCTGCCCCGCGGCTGGTGCAGAAGCCCCGGAGGCCCTGACTCAGGGCGGGCGCAGGGGCCCCGAGGCCCAGCCCGACGCTCCCCAACGCCGCCATCTTCCCGGAGTTCTCAGAAGGGGGCGTAGCCGAGGGGACCTCGAAGTGCCCCGCCCCCCCCGCTTCTAGCGGGCAGATCTGGCGCCGAATCAGGAGGGTACGGCGGGAGCCTTCAGGGAGCAGGCCCAATGGGACGAGTCGACGGGCGGGGTTGCAGAGAACTCACCCAATGGGTAGCGACAGGGCGAGGTGACACCGATCGCCCCCAATCAGAATTCGAGGCAGCGCGGAGGAGGCGGGGCCGCCAGCGCGGCACCCAATGGGAGGAGAAAAGCCGGGGATGACGTTTTGAGGCAAAGCGCCCAATGACAGCGAAGCATGCGGCGGCGGGAGGCGGACTTTAACAGAGGGCGGTCCAATGAGAACGGTGGGTTTTGCGGCCTCGGGGAAGGCCCGCCCCGCGATTTAAACGTTGGCAGCTGCCGGCCGTTGGCAGGAGCCGGTAACGGTCGTTGCGCGGGGACGGGGCGTGGAGTTTCTCGGGCCGGCACAGGTATGGGGGGGGCGGGTCACCGGGCCCCTCCCGGGCAGGGCCCCGGCAGCGGCGGCCTGGAACCGGAGTCCCGCCTGCCACGACCGGGCTCGGGGGGCTGCTGCGGGCCCCGGGCCGGCCCCCGCTGAGCCGGGCCTCCTCTGCGCCCTGCCCCTGACTGCAACCCCGCCGGGGTTCCCGGGGCGCCGCCGAGGCCCCGGGCCCGGCCCTCACGAGAGGACACCGGCGCGCCTCGCCGCCCCGGGGCCCGTCACTGCCTCGCCGCCCCGGCCTCTCTGGCCGGCCCGATCCGCCCCCCCGCCAGGCTCTAATGTCCGGGGGTCTCTGTCGCGCGGGTGGGACTGGGCCCCTCTGCTCAGAGGGGGCCGGCGCCGATCCTGAGCCGTAGCTCCGGCGGGGTGCTGGCTGTCCTCCCGCCGTCTTATGAAGCCTAATCCGAGGGTCTTGGCGACTGATGGTCGTGAAATTATCGAGCTCGGGAAGGCAGAAGTGACACAGAGTTAGAGCCACTTGTCCCCATAAATCCAGGGCAGATTTTTTTAAAGAGGGGTGGGGATGGGGCCAAAGGTAGGGCCTCCTCCGCCTGTTTATTCATAGCGAAAAACGTCCAGCACAAGCTTAGCATGCTTAAGCCATTTTGTCCTCTACAGATTACTTTATGCACTGACAGCACTGAAATAAACCCTCTGAAAGGGGGGTTGTGGGTAGAACATGCACTGTTCCCCTTGACAGACTTAGGTTGCTGAACAGGCTTCAGGGTAGCAGCCGTGTTAGTCTGTATCTGCAAAAAGAAAAGGAGGACTTGTGGCACCTTAGAGACTAACCCATTTATTTGAGTACAAGCTTTCGTGAGCTACAGCTCGCTTCATCCGATGTTCCAGACTCAACCACTGCTACAAATATTTAATTATACTTTCCTCTACACCTGACATTCCACTCCTGAACATGGTATCAAATGCTGCGATTGAATCTAGCAGGCTGTTGCCCTATAATTATAGGAGTTATGAAACTTAGCTTTTCAACAAACCAACATAGTGCTGGAGTAGTTTTAAGGCATATGCACATTCCTGGGTAGGACTGCCCCACAGGTGGCCTAATGTAAAGAAGTCCAACACTGAGAAATCAAGAGTCTCTCTCTATACTAGGATGCTGGTACTCCTAGGGCAGGATTGAGCTAGTTGAGGAAAAAGCCATAGTTCAAATGAACATAGTCCTGTTGATGTCAACGTTAGTTTCTATGAGCGTATAAGAAGGGAAGCAGTTGCAAGACTGCTTAGAGCATGGGTGCCTAAATTCCTTTAAAGACAGGGTTGAGGGCCTGTGGTAGGTACCTTTCTCCAGTACTGGGTATTATACCTTTCACTAGTTATTACTGTGGCTCGCTCCTTTGGGATTGTGGGCAGAACTTTCTGTACAGTCACATCAATTTCCTTCCAGTGCATCTCATCTAAAATTGTAGTTTAATTACAATGTCATAAAGGTGCTTGTTTCCTTCATAGGGAAAAACAAAGCATTTGAAACAACTAGTAAAATTCATTGGATTGCCAAATTAGTCCTTAGTTTAAAACTGAAAAGTGTTTAATGATCTGATTCAGAAATTAAGACATTGTCACATGCTGACATGGCCATTCCACTATTGCCTTTCATTTCTTCTCCTGCAGTACAGACTCTTCTTTTCCAAAATAATTTCTCCAGCCTTCTCGGTCTTTCCTGCTGTCCATCCCACACTATTTGTAATTGGGACAAGTGTTTCATCTGAAATTGTATCCTATTTGCTTCCAGAAAAAGCTGATTATTTCTGACATGATTCTTTTAATTAACTTTCTTTCAAACTTCCTTGCTCCCTAGTCTCATGCTGGCACTTTTAAGGTGCCTGGAGGTAGTCTCCATGATCAGCACTGTTACCCAAAGCATTTACACTTCCACAGAGCCGTGACCCTAGTAGCCTCTAAGTATCTTACCTTCCTCAACTAAATAAAGCCTGCAGGAATGAAGGGGAAGGAACCTACAAAATTCATGGGTTCCTCCAAAGTACTTATGCATCCTGACACCTGCCATACTTCCCACTTTTGGGTACTACCCACCAAAATGCATTGTGTGTAGCAAACAGGAGCCTGGCAGCAGTTCCTGAGACAGCACTTTACCCAGGGAGCTGGCTGAAAAGGGACCCTGGCCAGGGTGCTAGCTGTTTCACGCTGTAACTCTTCCATGTGCAAAGTGCTTAAGCAGAAAGTGCAGCATGAAAGGGCTGAAGAAATTGAGGGATGAAAGGAAATAATGGTGGTTCTCACACTAGTGCCCTGCACACTTAAACAGTGTAGTCGGAAGGTAAGCTAGCAGTTTACCCCCTAGGGGTAGGCGTTTTCACTCTCCTAGTCTGGATCACACTAATATTGTTTCAACCACTTGTCCTCAATTACGTGGGGCACCACTTCTTCCATTCAATCACATGATATTCCTGTGGCAAATACAGCCATTGCTTGCATGGAAAAGCAATGTTAGCTACTTTTAATGCATTTTAGCAGCTGGTAAAAAGGAGGCAAAACAAGTACCATATGCCCAGCATGTTCCATGGACCTGTTTGAGAACCTCTGCACTATATTACCGTATTTCAACAGCCCCCTAGAAGTTAATATTTTTAAAAAGTAGGTGCAGAATTGCACCTTTAAAAAGGATTCCTCTCCTCTGTGCCCTTCCTCCCACCCCCAAATGTTTTGTTTCCTAAAATCCTAGGGGACCACTCTCCTCCCCCCCCCAAAAGATGGTCCTGCTTCTGCTATCACGTGACCAGTTCTCATTTAGAGCTCTTGGACTCTGTGTCCACACAGACTCGCTTGGCAGCTTGTCCTGGAGCCTCACTATCTCTTTCTGCAGTGTCACCGTGGCCTCTCTTTGTTTCTAGGTGCTCCTCTTTGTCTGCTCCAGTCTCTTTCTCCCCGCAGTGTGGCAGCTCAATACGTCCCCTGCGCACAAAGTGATTAATCCGGGACTCCAAGCCTTCGCACTTGGGACGAGCCAGCAAAGGTTTGTAAGTGCGGGCCTTCACCCCCTCGATGAAACTGCTGACCTGGTTATGGACTGGGGGCTTCACCTCTCTCCAGAGGACCATTCTGTTCTTCTCTAGGCCTGTAACATACACAAGTCAGATGCTGGTATCTCTCAAACAACCCAGGCTACTCATTTCAGGAAATAGCCTTTATCCCTACATGACTTCTATGTGTTAGGCATACTTACAGAACAATTTTCCTACCTGTTCCTAGGGGTATGACAGCAGAGTCTAGCCCCTGTAACATGTTATATAACATGTGAGTTTTGACTGCATGATTGGCCCAGAGTTGCTGTAGGTGAGTAACATTAAACTCCTGAACTTCTCGGTCGTAGATCCACTGGATGTTTTCAAACTCGCAGTCATACAGAACCAGAGGAAATTCCACTGCCATGCTGCAGAGAGGAAAGGAGGAGACATTACCTAACTGTACACAGGCACAGTCAGCAGGAAGTTAAAACAAAATGCAGTGACTTGGGAAAAACCTAGAACACAAGACTGCAGATCCAATGTGATGGCACTGATTTCAGTGGAAAAGACTATGACTAGCTCACTGCTATCTTGTATAAGAGCTGTCAAGTCAGCAGCTCATTGAACCTTACATTTTTACTAGGTCCTAAGGAATAAGACTCATCAAGAATTTCATGTTCCTTGCCTGAAGAGCCAAAGCTTAAACACTGAGACAACAGGAAAAGTAGTTTCTCAAGGGCATGCTTTGAAGATGAAGAGGGTACGTTAAGTAACAGGCTGACACTGGAAGTACTGTCTTCCATCTCACTCTAGGACTGATAGTGACAGGCTGCTTGGATGCTGATAGGAAGCGTGGCGGGGCACTTATGGCGCTAGATTCAGAAACAGGGACTAAGATGCATAAATTTGAGATGAAATTCTGAGGATTCATCATAATTCTTGCCTGTACTGTGGTTTTCGAGGGTTCTTCTCTACATCCAATAGCTCATCAATAATCTCCGGATTCTCCATCCTCTGTCCAATTAGTAAGAGGATTGCCATCATGCAACGGACTTGATGATAGAGGAATGCCTGGCCTGTGACTTCAAACTGGTACAGTTGGAAAGGGTCCTGTAGCCCAGTTTCCCCTCCTCTATCCACCAGCTGCACCTGTGCAGTGAGAATAGTCCTTTGGAAGTTTGTCACTCCATTCGCTACGTCCATTTTGCACAAGTTCCGGAAGTCATGGGTCCCCACGTATTTTTGTGCTGCAGCATTCATGAGGGCCACATCTAAATCTGCATGAGGGAAAAAATAGCGATAGGTCCTCTTGAGGCAGCTGAATCTAGCACTGAAGCTGGGTTCTACAGGGGCCCAGGCCAACACACGTATGTCGGGAGGGAGCACCCGATTTAGGATATGGGTGTAGCGGATTTCGTTGGCAGGACTACTGGTTTTGTTTTCCAAGCCACCCTCATGACCATTCACTTTCTTTCCCTCTGAAAGGCTTGAGCGAAGGTCCAGGGAAATCACCTGTAGGATTGGAAAAAGGGGATTACACTCCGACTCCCTCAAGATAGGCAAAGCAAGCTTCCAATTACTCAGTTTTAAAACAAACACATTCAAGACCTCTGGAAGAGACACTGATCTTCTGGTTTGCTTTAATAACTGGACCTACCAGTAGTCCCTATTGAAGGGTATATAATTACAGCTGCTGGCGGTGGTTGGAGTGAGCTAACAGTTTGCTGCACTGTTATTGATTTGGTGATAGACTAACAGCCCTCAAAGTCCTAGTAATCCATGGAATATATAGGTATCTTAGAATACTTTCAACCTTGACCTGGAGGAAACACACTCACAGATGACAGGTTTCAGAGCAGCAGCCGTGTTAGTCTGTATTTGCAAAAAGAAAAGGAGGACTTGTGGCACCTTAGAGACTAACCAATTTATTTGAGCATAGGCTTTTGTGAGCTACAGCTCAGATGGCAACTTAGTTCAGTTCCATGGCTAACTTACTGCTTAACCTCAACAAGGGTGCCAATTTGTGATGGTTTATACAGACAGTTGTCCACTGGCGTCAGATCAACTTATTGGTAGATCATGGCTAGTCTACATGCAAACAAACTGCTTTTGGCCCTTATCGAGACGGTTTGAGGTCAAACCACTGACAGAAGTGGGGCTTTTACCCACTGATATAGTATCCTGTTGTGTTCCGGCTGAAGTGTACAGTGAGACTAAAGCCCTGTCTAAACACAGTTGTACTATACCTTTACCAATATTGTTAAAGCAGTACAGCTGGCCCAGCATTGATGTAATCATATTGGTATAAAGGTGCTTACTTGCCTTCTCTAGCACAGAGGTGGGCAAAATACGGCCCGTGGGCCACATCTGGCCCGTGCGACTGTCCTGCCCGGCCCCTGAGCTCCAGGCTGGGGAGGCTACCCCTGGCCCCCCCCCCACAGCCACGCCACTGCGTGGCTTGTGCCCGCTCACCTCCCAGGCTTTCCAATAAGCCTGTCCTGCCGCTTTGAGCGGTGTGATAAGGGGTGGGGGTGGTTTGCATAAGGGGCCGGAGATCCTGGGGGGGAAGTCAAGGGACAGGGGCCAGTTGGATGGGGGGGGTGTGATTGTTGGATAGGGGGTAGGGTCCTGGGCGGGGGGGGGGCAGTCAGGGGACAAGGTGGGGGGACGGACAGATGGGTTGGGGACAGGAAGTGGGAGGGGGCGGCAGACAGGTTGTTTGCGGAGGCACAGCCTTCCCTACCCGGCCCTCCATACTGTTTTGCAACCCCAATGTGGCCTTCGGGCCAAAAAGTTTGCCCATCCCTGCTCTAGCAGAATAGCTATACTGGTAAAACTGCCTCCATGCTAGGGGTTATCCTGAGTTTACTACTTAATTAAGAACCCCACACTCCTAACCATAGTTAACCAGTACAAAAGCAGTATGCAGACAAGACCTAAGTCAACTGGAGACCATTCTCATTAGTTTCAAGAGGGGTTTTTTCATTTGTTTTTAAAGGAATAAAAATTTAACCAAGTCAACAACATGTCTTAATGACTCTTTGGGACACTTGGTGCAGTTGTAATTTTGCTTAGCATTGTTCTAAGTTTCACGCTAATGGCTTGTCTACAAGGGGAAATAGCCAAGAATAGCTATTCTGCCATTGCTTCCAGAATGGATGCTCTTACTCCACAATAAGAGTGCCTGTGTGCTGAGTGAGTGTCCATGTGGCGAGTTAGTACAGAAGAGCACTGAATTTTGAAGTCATACCCTCACTTATTTCACACTAGCTTCACTGAGTAGACAAGCCCTAAGTGTCATCCATCATTCATGTCCATTGTGAATTGCTGACTAAATGCATTGCTGAGCACAAAGTTAACTATGGGCTCTCTTTGCTGAGTGTCCTTTTACATACTAGAAATGCTTCTTACCATGTTCATTTTCAGATCAGAGGGGAAAAATTAGTATCTTTTTAAAGACTGGGACAATGTTCTTATCCTCCGTGCTCAACACTGGGTTGAATAAAGCCTGTTGAATTATCCTAGAGGACTATATGCCCTCCACCTAGATTTCACAGCATAATTAAGGCAGAATCTCTCATAGCTGCAAGAGCTGGGAGAACTTGCAGCCTTGGGTACTGACCTGTCCAAATGCACTGACCCCCTTGTCTGTCCGTCCACAGCGATGATAATTGGAAGTCTGCCTATTGTCTACCAGCCGGGTCTTGCTTAGCGCCTCAAACAGTTTTTCTTCAATGGTGTTGTTGGTGTTCTCCTGGCTGGCAAAACCCTGGTATCCCCAGCCCAGGTAGGCAATCTTTAGTGCCACGTGTCTCCGGCCATAGGCACTAAAATCAAATGGCCGCTGCTGGCGTTTCTTAGTTTTCCCCAGTGCTGAAGGGTTCCTTTTTATGTCAGTGCCCTCCTTGCCCTCCAAGAGTTTCTCTTGCAGTCTCTTCACTTCTTCCTCCAGTTCCTGCACCCTTTTCAGTAGTCCCTCTCCTTTATCTTTCTCCATACCCCGGTCTGCCATACTGAAAATTCCGGTGAACTATCCCAGTTGGGATCCGTTGGTAGCGCCTCAGTGTCTGCAGAAGAAGAGTAAGGAGATTAGCAAGTCTGAGTGTCTCTTTACTTCCTATTAGATTTAGTATAAATCTGCCTCTGGCATTTACCCATCTGAGAATTTACTTCACGTACTGGCTTTGGCCTTCTAACATTCCTCAGTGCCTTGCATATCCCATGTTCTGACCTACCATATGGGTTGCTGGGCTTAGCTGTGACAGCTTTTCCTTACTCAGTGTAATTAATCCTTTCAACACTTCTAATCTCATGTCCCTCATTCCATTTACTTGTTATATCAGATCTACTGTGTAGGCCCAGTCACATCTATACCAAGCTTTCATGTAGTCTTTTTGGGATCCTGTACAGAGCTGCCAAGCAACAATCCTCATTTTCATCAGCCCCTGCTCTGCTAGCATCGGCATGTGAGGCAACTTGTTAATGCCTGTTAGTCTTACGGAACCATCTGTTATGTCGTCTTTCCTTCAAAATAGCTTCTTTTGACATTATTAAAGCTCAAGTTTTCAAAGCTGTCTAATGGATTCGGTGCCCAGTTGCTCGTAGAATTAATGTGAATCCCCGAGGTGACTTTGAAAATTTCAGCCTAAATGTTCCCTAGCTTGGCTTCTACTATGGACTGAAGTCTCATAGTATTCAATTCAACTACAGGCTCCAGCTTTGCCTTAGGTATCTGGTATCAAGGTGACCTTCCACGGGTGGGCCTTTCCATTATCTGTGCTAGTAAAACGTTTCTAGGGTGCCCCATTGGAGTCAGCACAGCTAGTAAATAAACTGTCCTTGCTCACACAAGGCAGAATCACACTAGAAAAAGTTACTAATACCCCCTCCCCGCCCCTCTCCACTTTAGACAAAACCAAAGAGTTAATCTTATTCTGCTTCATACTTAGCTATTACCTTTGTAACTGTCCCTTGCGCTAGGACAACTAACCCATAGCAGTTACCCCTTTGCTGTTTGAATATCACTGCAAATTTTTATATGGCACAATTCTAATATTTGCTTCAAAAGGGACACTGGGGCATGACACTACACTATAGGTGCTATTTGTCTGCATCTGACATAAAAGCATCTGTAGGGAAGTACCGTTCAAAGTGAAGGGTAAATTTGGGAATCCATACAGGATTCTCATTGCTCTACTCTTTTCAGTTTCACTAGCTCTTACTCATTTGTTTAAATTCCTTTTTAGCTTTCAGATGGTCACTGGTAAGTGGTCTAGAGTCTGATTTTAATGTTCTAAGTATCTTTTGTATCTATCAGTTCAGATGTACTAAGAACTTAATTACAATTTACTCTTACAGAATAAGTGACAATCAGTCCAGCCCAGGTGAAATCATGGAGGCACTGATAGGACCAGATCAGTATAGATGGGCCACTATGAACCATAAAGAGCGGATGGCAGCAGCTGCTATGGCCTTTACCCAACTTTGCGCAGAGCAAGGAGATGGAGATAGCCGGAGAGGAACCTATGCTCCAACTCAGTATGACCCCTACAGTAAAGCATCTGTGACTTCTGGGATCAGGCCATCTCTTCATCTGTTGATGCGGCACCACCAGGCAGAACACAGCATGCAACCAGAGACCCTCTCGGAGGGACTTAGAGGACCCAGAAAGCCAGTGATGAAGAGGAAAGTTCTGAGGCGGATGCCTGATGGAGAGGTACACGTGTCTGATGAGTCTGTCACCAGTGAACCAGAAACCAGTGCTGAAAGTGACCCTGAGACCTCAGACCTGAGACACAGACTGCTCCATCTACACCCCCACCAGGAAGACACTGCATCAGAGGTGGAAAGCGAGCCGAACCACAGTTCCCATAGAAAGTTTTACTTTGATCTTCCTCATCGCAGTGGCTCTCATGGAGACCCCCCATTTCTTCTGAAGGATTGCCATGGTCAGGGCTCTCCAGTTTATGAACAAGACTTGATTATGGCTGGACAACCTAAATCCTTCATTCCTCCAAGATTAGAGCAGCAAGGCCGTAATCGTGGGAAGATTGACCGGGTAGCCCGGTACTTTGAGTACAAGCGGGACTGGGAGTCATTCCGGATACCAGGGGAGGATCACAGGAAGGAATTGCGCTGGGGCATCCGAGAACAGATGCTCTACAAGCCTGACCTCCCAACCAGGTCTCAACACATCTATGTCCCCAACAACTATCTGGTGCCTACAGAAAAGAAGAGATCTGCCCTGCGCTGGGGGGTGCGCTGTGACCTGGCAAATGGCCTCATTCCCAGGAAGAGCTCCTTTCCTTCATAGTTATCTAGAGTCTCTCTTCAGCCCCCATCCACAGGACCATCCATCCCTTAGTGCCAATCAAAGATCTACCTGCTCTGCACAGGCACATTGCATTATTCTGCGTCGTTTGTTCCTCCTCCTAGAGACCCTGAATAAGTCAAGTTGACTCTAAAATCTCATTTGTGCTCCTAGACAAAGGTGGTTGATTGTGGTAGAAAACAACTTTACCTGCCCAGCTTCTTGAATACTTGTATTGAAGCACATCAGTTGCATGCCAGTTGCCTTCCTGTTAGCAAGACCCACAGAGCTTCTCCTTGAGGAGACTACTGTAGCAGAAGCTGCTCAAAGTAGATATAATGAAAACAATCAACCTACAGGAATCTATGCTTAGGGGAATAATCAATATCACTATTTCTATTTTTTTCCCTTTTTATTTGCTCTTGCTCCTGTGGATGAATTGCTGTGATGCTGGTTTTTTTATGGCTTCTGGGTTATGCATTTCTTTTAATAAAGTGCGTGAAAGGATCTGCTGTAGTTCCATGGATTCATTCGAAACACTTCTGATTAGCTTAAGATAGAATTTACTTACCCTAGACCTGTTAAACTATTCCATGCATTTGTGTATGCGTGTACATTCGTAGGCCTTGTCTACACTGCAGAGTTTTGTCACCAAAAGTGGCACTGGAGTGCCTCCATGAGGCTTTTGTATTGTATTTTTTAGAGAGAGCTGTCGGCCACTTTAAGTTGCCAAGGCACTTTCTGTAAATAGAAGCATTTGCCATGGTGTCCTTGATCAACCAATACAAGAATAATTTGTCTATCTATAAAGCTCTTTAGGATCCTCTGGGATGGAAGGGGTTAGAACTTTAATATATTTATTTCATTGTATAAAATGCATCTATCCAATGTTCTGGAGTACTACATGGTTCAAAAGATGGAACAACAAAGTGGGGAAATCTAGGTTCTAGCTCTGCCACTGACTTGATGTATGACTCTGGGCCTCAGTTTCCCCATCTGTAAGACAGGGATACTGAGTCTTACACTGCATTGTAAAATGCTGAGCAAGCACAGAGTGCCATAGAACTGTGTGTTATTCAGGACAAACATGCACATCCAATGTACTAAAGTCAAGAAAGCCCTTCCCAACCCAGCAGAAATATCACATCCCTCAGCCACCTACTGTGAAAGACAAGGCCTCTAGACCTGCCAGGCCCTGACTTTTCCCCCAACCAAGAAACAGATCCTTGTAGTGGAAGATCGCTCGCTAAGAATACCCTCTTCCCCCGCACCCCCGTCTCCTTTACAGCTAGAGGCTGTTCGCTCGCTACTGCTGCCACTGCACTTCCCGAGGGGCGATTGTTACCGGTCTCATGCTGCCTTGGACCGAACTGCAGGGAGGCCCAAGGGGGAGAGCGAGGGTTTCCAGCCTGGCCCCACATGCTCAGTGAAGCCTGCCCCATTCCCTCCCTGGCGGGATCGAAGAGGGAGAAGCCTGCATTACCAAGTGACCCCGTGCCAGGCAAAGCAACGTCCCCGAGAGGCGAGTGAGCCCTGCAACGTGGCACCTGTCCCGCGCGCCTACCTCTACAGCAGACCGGCCTGACACTCCCGGGAAGGGCCAGGACGCCGTAGTCACGTGCGCGCTGCTTTCTGCGTTCCCCGCCGGAAATGACCTTTCCACTCCCAGGCGAGTCATGGGAAATGTAGTTCCGGCACCACGTGGTCCACACTGGCCCCCCCCCCGTCCAGCGAGGGGCTCACGGGGGCTGCCTGCGGTGTGAACGCTGCACGGGCAGACTCTCCCTCATCCGCAGGGAGACCCCCGCAATTTTGTGCTGCTTTCAGGAAGCGTTGGTGGCGTCTTTGCTCTTCTCAGGGGGACGTTTACAAATAATCACCATGGTGTCCGTGTGAAACCCTCTTTCAGAGGGGCCCCTGGAGCCAGCCACTGCTGTAAAGGGGAGAGACACTTTTAACGATTCGTCACGCTTGGCACTGACTGTGCTTTTCAGCCGTAGACAAAAGAGCGATGTACGAAGGCAGGCAAAGTCATATCGTTCCCAAGCAAGGGTGGAGCTTTCAGGCCTGATTTTCAGAGGTACCGATGACTCCCGTGGGATAGTGAGAGCCTCTGAACACCAGGCCCGAGTGACTTGTCCAAGGAAGGCCACACAGGCAATCGATGGCAGAGCCGGGGTTAGAAACGAGCTATGATGACTCCCGCTTCTATGCAGTAACTGCCTCCCATGGCGCAAGCTATCACTCCACAGGTTGTAGCATTCATCATCTTTACCATGGGGGTGCAGATGGAGAGCAGTTTTATCACTGATGGTGCAACCAAGTTGTGGGGAACATAAGAGCCCTGCCTTTGCCCAGAACATTTTTGAAATGGAGGAGCAGGTGCGGGTACCTTCAGCTTCAAGCTACAGGAACTCATTCTCCTGTCTTCGCTCTGCTGCTTTTTCCTTTGAAATTTTAGCCACCAAGTCCAGCGTAGCTGGTGAGGATGAAGTGCAGAGGGTTTGTGGACTTTGTGTGGGTGTGAGAATGGGGTACATGGGCAGTGGCTCTCAGAGCGGGGGGGCATGCCACACCCATCAGATCTGTCCATTTGGCCATTGCTTCCTTGCCCAGAGAGCCCCGGCCTTGGCTGCAGTGGGGCAGGGAGAAAGAGAGGTGGGGGCGGGCAGGCAACATCCTCACACCCGGGGGTGGGGTGGGGAGGGGCAGAGAACTCCTCACCTCACACCTTGGGACCCCCCCCCTCACGCCCTGGGGTGGGGTGGGGAGGGGCAGAGAACTCCTCACCTCACACCTTGGGACCCCCCCCCCTCACGCCCTGGGGTGGGGTGGGGAGGGGCAGAGAACTCCTCACCTCACACCTTGGGACACCCCCCCCCCCCACGCCCTGGGGTGGGGGTGGGGAGGGGCAGAGAACTCCTCACCTCACACCTTGGGACCCCCCCCTCACGCCCTGGGGTGGGGTGGGGAGGGGCAGAGAACTCCTCACCTCACACCTTGGGACCCCCCCCCCTCACGCCCTGGGGTGGGGTGGGGTGGGGAGGGGCAGAGAACTCCTCACCTCACACCTTGGGACACCCCCCCCCTCACGCCCTGGGGTGGGGTGGGGAGGGGCAGAGAACTCCTCACCTCACACCTTGGGACACCCCCCCCCTCACGCCCTGGGGTGGCGGTGGGTCTGGGACTCCCCGCCCCTTGGGACAGGTCAAGGTGGGGCAGGACAGGGGACCCGCTTCCTGCGCTGGGGGGGCCCAACAGCACGGCACTCCCGCCCCCCCACGGAGAGCTTCTCTCCTCCCCCCGCTTCGCTGGTGCTCGCCCTCGCCCCGCCCTCATGAATATTCATGACCCCCCCCAGCCCCCGCCGGCGCGAAGGCCGTTCCGCTCTCGGCGCCTCTAACGGCCGGGCGCGGGGCGGCGCGGGGCGGCCATGGGCTCCCCGGAGCGCGGCTGCTCCGAGCGCGACGCCGCCTGCCTGGCGCACAGCGTGAGTGGGGCCGGCCCGGCCCCGCCGGACACCTCCGCCTCCGCGCCCGTCAGCCCGGCCCCTTCAACCCCATTGCCCCTTCGCCGTTACCCGCCCTGCCCCCCTCACTGCCCCTCCGCCCGTCCGCCTGCACCCCATTGCCCCCCCCCGTCCCCCCCCGTCTGACCCCTCACTGCCCCTCCGCCCGTCCGCCCGTCCCCCTTCAGCCCCATTGCCCCTCCCCCGTCCCCCCCCGTCTGACCCCTCACTGCCCCTCCCCCATCACCCCCCGTCCCCCCACCGTCTGACCCCTCACTGCCCCTCCGCCCGTCCCCCTTCAGCCCCATTGCCCCTCCCCCGTCCCCCCACCGTCTGACCCCTCACTGCCCCTCCGCCCGTCCCCCTTCAGCCCCATTGCCCCTCCCCCCGTCCCCCCACCGTCTGACCCCTCACTGCCCCTCCGCCCGTCCGCCTTCAGCCCCATTGCCCCTCCCCCGTCCCCCCCCGTCTGACCCCTCACTGCCCCTCCGCCCGTCCCCCTTCAGCCCCATTGCCCCTCCCCCGTCCCCCCACCGTCTGACCCCTCACTGCCCCTCCCCCATCCCCCCGTCCCCCACCGTCTGACCCCTCACTGCCCCTCCGCCCGTCCCCCTTCAGCCCCATTGCCCCTCCCCCGTCCCCCCGTCCCCCCACCGTCTGACCCCTCACTGCCCCTCCGCCCGTCCCCCTTCAGCCCCATTGCCCCTCCCCCGTCCCCCCACCGTCTGACCCCTCACTGCCCCTCCCCCGTCCCCCCCGTCCCCCATCGTCTGACCCCTCACTGCCCCTCCGCCCGTCCGCCTGCAACCCCATTGCCCCTCCCCCGTCCCCCCGTCTGACCCCTCACTGCCCCTCCGCCTGTCCCCCTTCAGCCCCATTGCCCCTCCCCCATCCCCCCGTCCCCCCACCGTCTGACCCCTCACTGCCCCTCCCCCCGTCCCCCCCGTCCCCCACCGTCTGACCCCTCACTGCCCCTCCGCCCGTCCCCCTTCAGCCCCATTGCCCCTCCCCCGTCCCCCCACCGTCTGACCCCTCACTGCCCCTCCGCCCGTCCGCCTTCAGCCCCATTGCCCCTCCCCCGTCCCCCCACCGTCTGACCCCTCACTGCCCCTCCGCCCGTCCCCCCTTCAGCCCCATTGCCCCTCCCCCGTCCCCCCACCGTCTGACCCCTCACTGCCCCTCCCCCCATCCCCCGTCCCCCACCGTCTGACCCCTCACTGCCCCTCCGCCCGTCCCCCCTTCAGCCCCATTGCCCCTCCCCCGTCCCCCCCGTCCCCCACCGTCTGACCCCTCACTGCCCCTCCGCCCGTCCCCCTTCAGCCCCATTGCCCCTCCCCCGTCCCCCCGTCCCCCCACCGTCTGACCCCTCACTGCCCCTCCGCCCGTCCCCCCTTCAGCCCCATTGCCCCTCCCCCGTCCCCCCACCGTCTGACCCCTCACTGCCCCTCCCCCGTCCCCCCGTCCCCCATCGTCTGACCCCTCACTGCCCCTCCGCCCGTCCGCCTGCAACCCCATTGCCCCGCCCCCCGCCCCCCCCGTCTGACCCCTCACTGCCCCTCCGCCTGTCCCCCTTCAGCCCCATTGCCCCTCCCCCCATCCCCCCGTCCCCCCACCGTCTGACCCCTCACTGCCCCTCCCCCATCCCCCCCGTCCCCCACCGTCTGACCCCTCACTGCCCCTCCGCCCGTCCCCCTTCAGCCCCATTGCCCCTCCCCCGTCCCCCCACCGTCTGACCCCTCACTGCCCCTCCGCCCGTCCGCCTTCAGCCCCATTGCCCCTCCCCCGTCCCCCCACCGTCTGACCCCTCACTGCCCCTCCGCCCGTCCGCCTGCAACCCCATTGCCCCTCCCCGTCCCCCCCCGTCCCCCCACCGTCTGACCCCTCACTGCCCCTCCACCCGTCCGCCTGCAACCCCATTGCCCCTCCCCCGTCCCCCCGTCCCCCCACCGTCTGACCCCTCACTGCCCCTCCGCCCATCCGCCTTCAACCCCATTGCCCCTCCCCCCTTCCCCCCCGTCCCCCCACCGTCTGACCCCTCACTGCCCCTCCGCCCATCCGCCTTCAACCCCATTGCCCCTCCTCCGTCCCCCCGTCCCCCCACCGTCTGACCCCTCACTGCCCCTCCGCCCGTCCGCCTTCAGCCCCATTGCCCCTCCCCCGTCCCCCCACCGTCTGACCCCTCACTGCCCCTCCGCCCGTCCGCCTGCAACCCCATTGCCCCTCCCCCGTCACCCCCGTCCCCCCACCGTCTGACCCCTCACTGCCCCTCCGCCCGTCCCCCTTCAGCCCCATTGCCCCTCCTCCGTCCCCCCACCGTCTGCCCCCTCACTGCCCCTCCGCCCGTCCGCCTTCAGCCCCATTGCCCCTCCCCCGTCCCCCCACCGTCTGACCCCTCACTGCCCGTCCGCCTGCAACCCCATTGCCCCCCCACCGTCTGACCCCTCACTACCCCTCCGCCCGTCCCCCTTCAACCCCATTGCCCCTCCCCCGTCCCCCCACCGTCTGACCCCTCACTGCCCGTCCGTCTGCAACCCCATTGCCCCTCCCCCGTCCCCCCGTCCCCCCACCGTCTGACCCCTCACTACCCCTCCGCCCGTCCCCCTTCAACCCCATTGCCCCTCCTCCGTCCCCCCGTCCCCCCACCGTCTGCCCCCTCACTGCCCCTCCGCCCGTCCCCCCTTCAACCCCATTGCCCCTCCCCCGTCCCCCCGTCCCCCCACCGTCTGACCCCTCACTGCCCCTCCGCCCGTCCGCCTGCAACCCCATTGCCCCTCCCCCGTCCCCCCGTCCCCCCACCGTCTGACCCCTCACTGCCCCTCCGCCCGTCCCCCTTCAACCCCATTGCCCCTCCCCCGTCCCCCCACCGTCTGACCCCTCACTGCCCCTCCGCCCGTCCGCCTGCAACCCCATTGCCCCTCCCCCGTCCCCCCACCGTCTGACCCCTCACTGCCCCTCCGCCCGTCCGCCTTCAACCCCATTGCCCCTCCCCCGTCCCCCCGTCCCCCACCGTCTGACCCCTCACTGCCCCTCCGCCCGTCCGCCTTCAGCCCCATTGCCCCCCCGTCCCCCCACCATCTGACCCCTCACTGCCCCTCCGCCCGTCCCCCTTCAGCCCCATTGCCCCTCCCCCCCGTCCCCCCACCGTCTGACCCCTCACTGCCCGTCCGCCTGCAACCCCATTGCCCCTCCCCTGTCCCCCCACCGTCTGACCCCTCACTGCCCCTCCGCCCGTCCGCCTTCAGCCCCATTGCCCCTCCCCCGTCCCCCCACCGTCTGACCCCTCACTGCCCCTCCGCCCGTCCGCCTTCAACCCCATTGCCCCTCCCCCCGTCCCCCCGTCCCTCCGTCCCCCCACCGTCTGACCCCTCACTGCCCCTCAGCCCGTCCGCCTTCAACCCCATTGCCCCTCCCCCGTTACCCCCCGTCTCCCCCATCCCCCCACCATCTGACCCCTCACTGCCCCTCAGCCCGTCCGCCTTCAACCCCATTGCCCCTTCCCCATTACCCCCCGTCCTCCCACCGTCTGACCCCTCACTGCCCCTCAGCCCGTCCGCCTTCAACCCCATTGCCCCTCCCCCGTTACCCTCTGTCCCTCCGTCCCCCCACCGTCTGTCCCCTCACTGCCCCTCAGCCCATCCCCTTCAACCCCATTGCCCCTTCCCCATTACCCCCCGTCCTCCC